GGCAGGAACGTTATGGCTTTCTTAATTCTCCTGCGTGATTTATCATCCCCAATTCATTGTTTTGCATAACTCTGCTCAAAATGAAGAAATGTCATTATTTTGCAGTGAAAAAGTTGTCATTTGCATAATGCCTGCCATTAATTATTGTGAGACTAATGCAGTTGTTGATATTTTTAGGGCACAGTGGTACATCCTGCACCTTGTATAATGTCATTCTGAAAACATGGGTAGTTAATAGGTGCCACAACACTGAACAAATGCAAGAAAGGAGGAGAAGAAGAAGAGGAAGGGCACATAATGGAACAGGCTGTGATCTTTATTTAGGTTTTTCTTTTACTGAAATACACGTTGAGAGACAACTATAAACAGAAGCAAAGGCTAGGAAGCTGTGACACCCCAGAGAATGAGGGAGTGAAGAATCAGAAATGTTCCTTTCWACATATGTTAGGCAAGATGGACCTAAATAAAACTCTCTCATGCTGATGTTCCCTGGAATCTGAGAAAACTTCTGGCAGTGGTTAGTGATTGTTAGCCCATAACTGGCAGTTTTTCGTCTCGGGAAAGTCCTTTGTTATTTGTTTTAGTGGCTTATTTATTTTTACAATGGAGTTATTTTATGATTCTTTTTCAAACATGTTAAGGGAAAAGCACAGCCTTCATGCGACAGCCTTTCTTCTACCCCATGGTACTGGGCAGTTTCTGAGCCTTGGTTGTGATTGTATGCTAATGGGAAGAAATTACTTCAGAAGACCATAAACATCAACAGGCTTTTGGTATCTTTGCTAGAAAATAAGAATCTCCATGTCCCTTTGCCACTCAGCACATCTGCTATGTCCTTTCTCTGTTTGCTGATGTATCTTAAAATGCCAGAAGGAGAAAACATGGCCATTTACTCCTCTCAGATCCTRAGATTCACTGCCTCCAGAGGGATGTTGTTTTGTCTCCTGTTTTCTGCCATTAGAATTAAAACAACAACAAAGAAAATTAAACCACAAAAGTTCAAATAATGCTAAGAGTCTAACTGAAACCCACAAAGGACAGGAAATTCATCTTCAAATGTTGCCTGCCAGTCTGTCCTCAGCTCACCCTATTGTCACAGAGAACTAAAAGTTGTTCCTACAGCGTGTGATCTTACAGACCACAAATGCTGCAATATGTAGGCACAATAGAAACACAATGGAGGAACAGACACTGAGCTTTATTCTCAGTTTCTTGGATGTGGTAGGTGTGAGACAGACCCGTAAGGTAGCAGAACATAAGGCTATTTTTTAATGTGTTTTCGTGCACTTAGAACACAAGTGCAGTGTTTCATAAAGTTGTCATTCCGACTTACAAACTACACTGAAACTATAAATTGCAATCTTTAACATTACAGAAACAGTCCATGTGTCAGTRGTTGATTTCTTACATCCATACCACTGCCTCTGCTTGAGATTTTTTAGAAAAATATAATTTAAAATACCTCATGCTGGCAAGAATCCTAGAGAATACAAATCAGAAGGAGAAATTKGTACATAAGATTGTAACAACAGAATGTTATAACTTCACTCTTCATCGTGCCAGTGATCTATCTCCAAAGGCTTTTCAAATCCTGGAGCAATGATTCCTGTGAAACACTTTTCCCAATTCATAGGATTAGAGAGATGGTGTGGCAGGAAGGAGGTCCCTGTCCATGGTGTCCTGCCCTGACTGGAGAGGTTTATGCTGCAGATGAGCTGCAGATCTGAGGGGAGAGCATGAATTCTCAGAGTGCTCCTCTGTAAGATGAGTTGAGGAGATGAACAGTTCTAAATTTCCTTCCTGTGTTTGATACAGACTCCCTGTGTGGCCACAAAAAGAGTCACATAATTTCTCTCATAATTTTCATCAATGAGGAATTAAAATCATTCCAGACATCTGAGGGWACATTGTGAGGATTAATTCACCAAGACTGTTGAGAGATTCAGATGCTATATTGATGAGTACCACAGAAAATCCAGAAACAAAAACCCCATCTTATTTCATGCAAGACTTGGATGCCACTCAGTAAACAAGGCTTGGGGCCACACACTGAACAGAGAGAATAAAAAAAAGAATATTTGAATTAGTCTCATTCCCTGGATGCTATCCATTATACAGAACACAAAATATACAATCATAACATGGAAGATTGTATTGTAACACTACAGCTGTTGTGACAGACTTCATTTTTATATTTTCATACTTTTGCGTGCTTTGCTCTGTGACCTGAATGTTTTTTTTGCTTGGTTTTAAAAGGCTTTTTTTTTAGCAAAATGTGCACAATAGACTAAGTGTAGCTCCCACAGAAATCACTCCGTAGTGTGAATGCTGAACTCACTAAAACCAAAGGGGGTATCATCACTGGCAATTACATAAGTTTGGGGATTTTCATCTCAAAAATTAGTATCACCTATTGGAATCTSATCCAGTTAGGAAAATATGCTGTATCTCTATCTCACAAGTCTCCCAGAAGAATATCTTGCTCTCCAAACATTTATGTTTCACTCTTAACATTTTGTCCTTAACATACACTTTAACTATGGTTGTACCTGGGGAAGGATATTAATCAACATCCAGTAGGTTGACAGTGCAATAGTAAATCATCAGTTGCAGCCATAATCCATGTGCTCCATAAATTCATTCTGAAGCTGGAATCTCTGTGATCTATGTGTTAGTTGTGTTGAGGCTTAGCTACGGTCCTTACACGTCAAAATGGTTCATTCTGCTCTCAGAAATGYGCATTTCATAGTGTGAGCAGTGTTTTCTGCTTTTGCATCATTGTGTTTAACAGCCCTGATAGAAAGGGTTGTTAAAGCCTAAGCTGTATTTTCTGATTTTGTCCGGTTGCTTTTTGAAACCATTTTTCCTTTTGGCATCGAAAGCATCCTGTGCTGATGAATTCCACAATTTAATTACAGACTGTCTGAAAACATACTTCCTTTTGTTTGCTTTAAACCTGGTGCTTGATAACTTCTCTGGATGCTTTCTAGAAATATGTAATGAGAAATAGGGAGCAATTATTAACAGTTCACCTTGTCCTTGTTTGTTACGATTTTATCAAGCTCCTTTATAGTTCTCTCAATCATTTATTTTCCAGGGCAAAGCACCCAATTCYTTTTAATCTGTTCCTTGCACAGAAGTTGTTTCATGCTTTGAACATCTTTGTGCCCTTTTTTGCACCTTTCTGGCTGCCAATGTCCTCTTTTGTCTTGAGAGTTGAAACCTACACAGAGTATTCCGTATGTGAGTCTACCATTAATTTTATTAGAAGGACATATTATTATTTTAATTTTGTTTTCTAGCTCTTTCTTAATAATTCCCAAGGGGTTTTTAAGGGCTTTTTCCTCCTTTTTGATCAATTCTGGCATTGAGCTGGTTCTTTCAAAGGTATATCCACAAGGATTTCCATGTTGTCTTTCCTGTGTAGTAATAGCTAAATGAAATCCTATTTTGTAGTATGAAATTTTTGTAGTTTTTTGTCTTATGTCATGATAACTGTCTTTTGGAAAGTTTCTTTGGTGAGGGTTTTCATATTTTTTTAATTTTTAGCAACATAGGCCCATTGCCTCCTTCTAAGAACTCTGTGGATTTGCAAATCAAAATTTCCATCTGWAAAAATTCATGTTGTATCCTCCCTGTTTTATCTACTCAAGTGTCTGTTACTATTTACTATCATTTCTACCAATTTCTAGGGCATAAACTATAGACCAAATGATCTACGTGGGTCTTCCTAAAGCCCTTTTTTTACTATTGCCATTAAATCATTTTCTGTTCTTTTGTTGTGCAAGAGTTATTAGTTAAGCCCTTTTCATAACTGAGTTTCTTTATAATGGTTTCTTTTATAACTGTTAGATGGGAACCATTTATTCTTTCCATTGCACATTTTCTTAGATTTAACCTTCCAGGGAAGGGATTTCACTTGTAAACCTATTTCAACTGCTCTGTAGTGAACACAGCTGCAGGGAATTTATTTGGGATTTTTTGTTCTTTGAACACCCCTTTTGCACCTCATCTRTTGGCAGAAACAGATTCTATTTAAAGTGTTCAGAAAGGTTATTTATGGCTTTAAAAAGTTATTCCTCAAGATTTTCATGGGCCTGACTCAGTCAACATTTTCTTTTGAAAAAAATCAATAAAATAGACACTTTTTTTTCTGTTTTCTGTGTTTCAGTATAACTTCCTCGTTTGGAATGGTGTCTTTTTATTTCTAGTAAATCCCTTCATTTGGCCGCTTTAAAAATCCTATTCTTTTCTTGTTTTCACATGTGGTTATACATTTGTTTTGTGAGTTCTGAGTAGAAATTAATTACTGCAGAACAACTTTCAAGGTTCTTGCATTTAAAGGAACCATATTATGCATTTCTCCTGGAGATTTTTGCCCTCTTGCAAAGGATTTTCATCTAAAGTGGCAACCGAATTATGACAGTTTACAACCCAGCATATTCAGGTAAATCAGAACTGTTTAGGGATCTCTTTAGTACCTCAGGCTGTAATTTGCTGTCTCTGCCAGACAAACTGCTGAGATGTTCCTCACAATGATTGAGGCAGACAACTGGGGGTCAGGATTATTGCAGCTATTCTAAGAAAGGTTTTCCTGTTACTTGTAAGAGACGTGAATCTTTGATAACRTATCTTCTAACAGTAGCATCTTAAAACATTTTACCCTTAGCTGCTTCTTTTTAATTTCCTTTTTTTCTCTGTTCCTTATTTTAAATAGGATTTTCTTCCTGAAGTTATATATTGCTGTAGTGGATTCTGTTGTTATTTTTTCTGTCCTATAGAGAACTGAATTTATGTGCATTATGTTCATTATTACAAAATGGTTCTTTAATATGCACATATTAAAGTAGGTTTAGTGATCTTAGCACTAAAATAAAGTTGCTTCTTCTTCCATAGGTTTTCTGCCTGTGAAATTTTCCATTTTGTTTTTCATAGTCACTATTAGCMTTATAGTAGGATGGTGCATGGTATGATTTTAACATCATTCTCTTTCTTTTTAGGTGCGGAATTAAAACCCATGAAGGTTTCTGGTAATTTTTCATTTATTTTATTTATATATTTTTTAACTCACAGCAACAATTCCTCATCTGTGCTCTGATTGTTACGAAGTGCACTCTAGTATTGTAATGTGCATCTTCTTCAGTTGCTGAACTTGCCGTATATGCCTTATTTAAAAAAAAATAAATGTTGCACTCAGTCCTTAGTTTCTATATTGAGGTGCTTATGCATTTGTCCTGGCTGTTTAAGATACTCAGAGTGACAGCAGACTTGTTTTGACTGTCGAGGCAGTTCTTTGCTATATTTGGTTCCCAAATTTTATCAACTTATGCTCTCTTGATACAGAGTTCTTGTGGTTTCACCCATAGCTGATGCATTTTTCTGTGTACAGTTCTGTATCTCCACCTTTAGTATCTCTCAGAAGGTGTTTTTAAATCTGCTCTACCTTCTCTAGTTAGAACCATTTCTCCTTTGTAGGATCCCTCCCACCTATTCTTAAGTTAAACTTCTCTTAAGAGCAGCCTCCAAAAAGAGCAAGTTTAATGTAATATCTGACTTGCTATCCTATTCAGAAAGTCATTCATTCAAACTAATACACTTTTGGGATTAGAAATTTGTCAGATTKAGCTCACAAAGTAGTTTTGCTTTTACATTACGTATTGGCTGACACATTTCCCTGTCTTTTGGCTCGTCAAGATTTCTGCCTCCCACAATCTTGKGGATGCCTCTACCCTGGAGGACCTACAGGACCTGGAAGCCCTCCCAGTAATACATTGCAAAAAATATTTTAAATGGATTTCAAAGTACATCAGGATCTCAATTATCTGAAGAACATGGGAAGAGCACTGAATAGGGCTTGATAATCGCGTTTACCAGTAACCAGAGTGCCCYGCATGCCCATGGATCTGTGGAAATAATTAGTAATAGAAGCAATTTACCATTTAATTAATAAATGACAAGGGGTAAAACCTTGTCTGGGTTCACTGAATTTGGATAATTGAGGCTCCACTGTATTTTAAAATCTGAAATATTAACCATTATTCTGTGTGCTTGAGATAATAATCRTTTTAAAAGTGTGCACATAACAGGACCTAAGCCTAGATGGATTATTTGTAGAAAGGAAGAATTGCATAATGTCCTACATGCAGAGATTTGCTCTGCAAGATCACCTTTTTTTTTTTTCTAAAAGTATCTTGACTCTGTGTCCTTAAATATATAGATCTGTGTCATCTTTGAATGTGTAACTACATTCAAGAGCCAGTGAGGAATTTCAGAGGGCAATGAATAACCTCTCACCAAGATGAGTAAGAACTARTGCAGCAGAACATCTTCAGACTCATTCTTATCTCAGCTGCCCACAAAGGAATTTAAGATTGATCGAGATAACTTAAATTTTATAATGAAATAAGAAAGACACTAGAATTGGTGCCTGCCATAAATAGCCATTCAGAATATGCTGTAGGGAGTGGATTGTGGAAAGATGGGATTGAAGGCAGATGTTCTTGGCTTATAGTTTGTTCCAGGGGGTTTAACTGCCATAATACACTGATTTGCTGCCTCTTCAAGTCTTTGCAAATAGAGTTCCAGGCTTCTGCCTTCTTGAGTTTTGCATGTCTGTCGTGCCATCTCAAACACTTAGTAGTTCCCACGTCGGGCATTGAAACATTATGACTGAAGAACAAGGACTGAACCTCTAAAAGGTGGCATTCTTAGCAACAGATCCTAAGATGTCAGAAACTGTGATTCCCTTCCTTTTTTTCACTCATGTTGTTTGTTGGATTCCATCTTTTTGTCCTTCAAATCTCCTTCATTATGCCATTGTTCTAAGGCAGAAGAAAATTGGTGTGATTATGAATTAGATTCTGCATTTAAGTCTGAAAGCAGGTAGAATGGAAAGTCTATTCTTCTTCAGTAGAGCTATCCACTGCTAGAAATCTGCTACTGGAAGCCATCTCTTTCTGTGCCCAAGAGGCTGACTGTAAATCAGTTTGGTTTGTACTATACTTTTGAAATACACAATAATCATCAGAATGAGAATAGGCAGTCCTTGCAGAAGTGTAATTCCAGCCCCAGGGAGATGTTTCATTCATAAGAAATTGGAGAAACTAACATTGAAACCATGCTATGAAGTTCTAGGTGTCATGGAGTTCTGTCTGTTGCTTCTGAAGAAGAGATTAAAATGGTTAATATCAGTCAAGTCATTGTTGTGCTCATATAAAAAATATCACAGAATTTGGTGTGTACAGTTGTTTCTACTCAAGGGATCCATTAGCAGAAAATTGAGGACATTGCATCAGAAATGATGAGTTGGCACCATTCATGGTGGTAAGGGAAGCTTGGTTATGCAATGAGCCACMTCCTGCTCTCCTGACTCTCTGAGTAGCAATATTCAAGTCAATAGTAATCACATCCATTAAAAATCAGTGGAACTACTTGCATCAATAWGATAAGTACGATTTGGCCCAAAGGTTGGTTGATATCAACGTTTTTAATCTCTCATTTTCATAAGTGCTAGGTTCATTCAAGCAATTTAAAGTGAGGTGAATAAAGAACATTCTGTGCTTTGAATAGTTTGGCATTCTGCACAGAGCATGTGATTAATACCATATTGTTGGCTTTATTCTTTGCTTTTCAGTTGTGGCTGGCAATGCCCTTTTCATAATTTCTGGTATCCCTCCTGTGCCTATATAATTGCTCTCTCCAGATTTTCTACGATGCCCTTAGATTTTCCCTGTCCTCAATGTAATATGTTCCTGTATTCACTTACCCTCCCATCAGAACTATAAAAGTTTCTGATGTGCTGCTCTGACATGATCAGAGCTGACATGGAGTGATGTGTTCACCTGACAATGTTTCCCAATCCAGTTTGTTATCTGTATTTTCCTGAGTGTAACCATGGCACTGCTTTGTAGTTGTGCTTCTGGGAAAATCTATGGAAGCACATTGGTGCAGTCAGTTGTGGTGGATAGGACAATGGGCTTGAATTTCAGACATTATAGTTCACTTGGCTGACTAAAATCATAGAATTAGGGGATAAGCAATGAAAAATGGTCACTCTTGCTCACCTTGTAGAACTGCAAACATTGAATACATGGAGCATGATAGTCTTGATACTTTCTACTGAACACAGTCAATATATGATACCGCTGTTAAAGCACAGTTATGATTTCTGCAGAAATATGAATGACGAATGGCACTGCTGAAGACTAAACTTGAGTGCAATGTTGGTGACATCCCACTGTTAGCAATTCTACCCTCAATTTTTATATTTTTCAAGAAGTTATACACAGTCTGTTTATTTCCCTCCTGCAAACTTCCAGACTTCTAAGTCTAACTTCTTAGATTGGAAAAAAAAAAAAAAAAAAGACAATAAGGAGTGATAGTTGTCTGTGCTATTTTGCAGGTGTCAATAAGTGAAAGTCTTACCACAACCAGAAAAGATTCATTATGAATTATGATTATTATGAAATTCTGCACTGCTTTTCTTACAAGATAATTCCATGTTGTTGTGTTCCCAGTGATGTGATATTCAGGACAGAATCTGCTTTCAATGAAATGTGAGGTCATTTGACTGATGGGAAAGGATTTTTACTGATTTAACAGCAGAATGCATACTTTATGATTACACAGGGATAAAGGGAGAAATGCTGTCAATATTATAATTGTTACATAGGCAACATTTCCATGTGTTCATAGTAGTCATCCATTCACTGGTTAAGTTCCTTAAGGAGATATTTCCTCCACACATATACTCCCTGGTGTTCCTTAGGGTGGAATTTTCYTCAAGGTTTTGAAAATCTAAAACCATTCACCCTACTGATGCTCTGGGAGTTGGTGRCCCTTGTGTCTCTGTGGGTACAATGTGTTCAGTTTTCCTGGACGTTTGAGTTATCTGCAGGTCCTGTGCATTAGGGGGAGATGAGATTTGGGCCATGAGCTGAGGGATGAAAAGGATTCATCTTTGTGAGAGCAGAAGATTGTTATGCAAGCCTTTGCACAATCAAGTATTATRAGTGTTTACAGCTACAGTAAATACCCTCCTTGCAAGTTTTTTCTTGCATTGTTTATCCAGCTACACTTGTATTGAAGGCACACTTTCCAAACAATTCATAGAAGTTTATAGATGATTTATCAGCATTCTAAGAACATTTTTGAGGTTGTTAGTAAGTACTACAATGTTTTGTAGGCACATCACARATTTATCTGTAGGTTAATATAAACATTAATTAGCTTCTTCCTCTCAATCATTTATAACAACTAATAAGCATTTCTTGAAGCCTTTATTAATCATTTTCTAAACCTTCAGAAGTAGCCTTCTTAAAAGTATGACTTACCAGCTATGTAAGAAATCTGTATATTCTGAGTGGAGAATAAAAGATGCACAGTCCAAAGCAAAYTCTTCTTAAAATAGAATTGGACAATAAACGATAAAAACTCTTTTTAAGWTACACTGCTGTCCAAGCATTTTTTCTAATTGGTTGTTGTAGAGGRTTATCACATATTTTAACAATCACATCTGAAAAAACTCTCACTTATAGATACTTGCAGAAACCATAAGAAGGTAATTAATTTAAATCCTGAGCAGTTGAAAATTCAGTAGGACTGTGCTCTAGGAAAAGCTTTTAAAGATTGATATGCCTCAGAACACTGTCTTTTATAATTAAATCTTTTAGACTTGTAGAATGGCCAAAGGATTCTGACCGTGTTATTATATTTACCATTTATTACTTTTCCCCATATTTCTGAGGAGATGAGAGCACTGCAGGTAAAGAGTAAGAGAGGAAACTGGCCTTTGCTAAATTTCTTTTCATGGCTTTGGCATGTTTGACTGGTTTTAATTCTTAAGAATGTGGGTAGCTCTATATACATGCAATTGTGGATCTCCAGATTTAGGTTTTCTCATCATGGTAGTTGATGTTTGCCTGTCTTTCTGGCTTTGAAACTTCAATTGAATGACTACTGCATCATCTCTTTTTGTCTCTTTCTAGTTCTTAGTCATACCAAATAAAAAGAAATCATGAAAATATTTTTA